CCAGTAGACCGACCAGTCGGCCCACGTGACATCCAATCTGTTTTCAGCATACATGAAGCAGAGAAGAGACGTCATTATGAGGGAGGAGTGAAGGAGGTAGAGATGTCGCGTTTCACTTCAGAGTCCTCGTGGCAGTCTTGTGCCCTCGACTACTGGCGGTCTTCATGAAGGAGCGAGCTTGTTCATCTGTTGGGTATGCCAGTGCTGGAGGCCGCGTTATCCGAACATTGAGATGCTGTAATGGTTTCCGGTACATATTTCACTAGGGGATAGGCATATGCGGATAATGCCCGCAGAAAAATTGGCAGAATTTGCTACTTTTCTGGTACGTTTCATGCATGCTTGGTATGTAGATAAAGAAATGGAGCAGAATTCGAGGAATTGCCCGCCATAAGGTTTGTATGGTTCTGCCAACTTCACTGCTTTTCGAGCAGAATCTGCCACCTTTCCGAGCATTATCTGCACACCCCTACTAGGGGACATTACTTGCCTGACCATGAAATTGATGAAGACTCACTTCTTTTTCATTGTCTGTTCAATTCTTAGGACTCGTCGCCTTCCATGTGCTCCGTGCGCATGATTCAAACGAAATGCTGGGACTGACTCCGATCTGACTTGAACACGAATAGAAGAGTCACATACACAGACTGTGCATCATGCATCATTGCATGTATTGTTGCTCTTACTGTTAGTCAGTGTGTAGATCCACGTAGTGCGTGCACGTGAATGGTGTCTTCGATCTGCCTGGTTGCTTACAAACAGGGAGTCGTATAGGTATACGACTCCCTGCTTACAAAGTAACTAGTTACAGCGATACTAGAGGCATAGGCAATACAATGATGTACAGGCGCTGTCAGTGTCATCATAAAAATTTTCATTTTCACCTCGAAGAAACTACAGGTCATTCGTATCGTGCATACATGTATTCAGAGATAATTTTAATCTTAGTAATCTTAGAGTTCCCCAAAACATCAGTAAATGTTACTTCGTAAGTGCTATGTAGTAGTATTCTCAAGTAGAATAACAGTACGGTCGCCGGTGAGGATTTGCTGCAAATCAAGCAGTCAGCTCAGTCGTCGAGCGGATAAGACAGCTTCTTTGCCATCAGGTAAATATTGTACTGTTTTTAGCTTTTGCGTATTTTTGAATGAATTGTGTGGTGCGTTAGTCGCACGCTACAGCAGCGTACGTGTGCCTCCTAGCTAGCAGTTTTGACTGTTGTAGTATCAAAGAGTTGGTGGACAAGCCGTTGATTATTCACTCTCATTGTAATATCAAAAAGTATTCTTTCTAGACCAAAGAGTGGTATATTTGATAACATTTAATAACGATAGAAATTTTTACGATACTTCTCCAGACGTTTCGTTGTTCTGAACAACATCGTCAGTGGATAAGAAGTATCGACGTTTACCAGAGTTATCTGAATGAGGCAGCCAAGGGGATATCCAGCAGAACTGTTGCACACTTATTTGTACCGTGGACAGAGGGGGGGGGGGGGGGGGAGGGGAGGGGTAGGTAGGCAAGGGCAACAGACTAATATAATACAGTCGTCCCTCTCTAATCCGGCACCTTTTGCTACGGCGTTTTCTGCTGGATTAACGAGGGTGCTGGATTAAGAAATCCTGCCCTCTGACCCGGTCCTACCCAATTGCATGCATGTATCATACGTCAAAACGCAGGGTTTTTCCGTGTCGACCCAAGTATTTGGTGCACGGCTTTATATTCTCAATTGTTCTCCGGGAATATACACAGTGATAAAGTAAAACAGAGAACATGTTCACATGTACTCTTGCACACACACACCTGAAAATTGGCAGGACACTACTCCTTGCTAAAATAAGAAAGTATGGTTGACTGCTTAGCCGTTGTCTCCTGGACAACATTGACCAGACTGGCCTAGCCTGGCCTGGCAAGGAGTGCACCTGTACGATCGTACTGCCGGATTATGAAATCAAACTACGTGCAGTTTGAGTGCTTCATTTCAAAAAGTCACTGCCGGAGGCGGAATTCAAGTGCCGGATTAAGATGTAGGAATTGAACGAAAAAAATCGGTTTCGTCAGAAAGTGCGCCGGTTGGCAAGGGTTCCGGATAAACAAGTGCCGGATTAGAGAGGGATGACTGTACAACGTAATGTTGATCCTAGAGGGTGGTGGCGTTCCCACGGTGGATGCGGAAAACTGGGCCTTCAGTCGAGTCTCACGCGAACCGTGAAATTTATTTATTTTAATGTTGTGGACATTGAAGTCCGTTGAGAAGTCAAGCAGCCACGGGGCATTGGCCTTGCAGCAGCTAGCTAGCACAGTTGGGCCATTGTGCATTGTAAAAACTACATTGCCAGTACGCGCTAAGGCAGTAAGGGTGCCGACACCAGTCATGTCACTGGATTTCTATGTCCACGCACAGTAGTAACCATTGTTCCGGAGGAGTTTGTGAAAAAACAGCTGCATTGTCTGGTAAGAAACATGGGTTCCGCAGTGCAATGATTCATGAGCCGGCATCATCACGCTACGGGCAACTCAGCTGACTATGAATGTGTTGAGTTGTCAGCGTACTCCCTTTGTAACACAAATACAAAACACCTGCATGTGCTCACATCAAAAAACACACACACACACACACACACACACACTACACAGACATTCACACGCACATGTACACACATGCACTCACTCACACACACACACACACACACACACACACACATACACACACACACGTGCGCACTCGTACACCCGCATACACACACACACGCACACACGTACACACACACGGACACATGCACACCCGGTTGCACGCACCCAGGCATGCAAACACACACACGGACACACACACACACACATACACAAGCCTACATGCATACGCGGAGGGATTCTGGGATACAGGTAGGGGGAACGGATATCATGAGGCTATTCAACGGAGTAATGCGACAAATGCATAACAGTACTGTCCTCTTGTTTGCGTTGCGTTGCGGTGTAAGTCGTTTTCAGCCGCACTCTGCACTTTGATACTCCTCCTGCATGAAAAGTGAAAACTCACAATAGCGCTTGAAAGTGCTACGTCACAGCCTGCCCCGAGTCATAACAACGCTGACTTTTGGATCCACTTTTGCGACTTGTGCGGAGACTCCCTCGATTTAGGCTAAGGCCTGTGGAGAATCCATAAATGCAAATACAAAATGCGGTATCGCACGTTGACCTATTCCTGGAAAGAGGACGGGAATCTGAAAAAGCTATCATTTTGTCCTGTGTGCATTATGTGTGTCTGCCTGTGCATGAGTGTGTGCCTGTGTGTCTGTGCGTGAGTGTGTGTCTGTGCGTGAGTGTGTGTCTGTGCGTGAGTGTGTGTCTGTGAATGAGTGTGTGTCTGTGAGTGAGTGTGTGTCTGTGTGTCTGTATGTGCTTGTGTGCCAGTATTCTTTCCTTCGCACGTGTGTGTGTGTGTGCATATGGTGTGCGGCGTTGTAGTGGCAGTATCCGGAAGTTGAACGGAATGGACAGCGGTGGCGGCGAAAGCCTGGGTTTGGAATCTGTAAATCGCTTGCTTCGTCAGCAAGGCCTGAGTGCCCTGTCGGCACAACCTCTCACAAGCATACTGGATGACAACGGTGAGTGTGTGTTTGTGTGTGTGTTTGTGTGCGCGTGTGTGTGTATGTATGTGTGTGTGTGTTTGTGTGCGCGTGTGCGTGTATGTATGTGTGCGTGTGCGTGTGTGTGTGTGTGTGTGTGTGTAGTGGTATGTGCAGCGATTTCCAATCGATAGGTTGCGGGTTCGATTCCCAACGATAATGGTCATACATGTCTTTCTTCTCTTTCTCAGACTCCTCCTGACTTTTCTTTCACTCTCCTGGGTGGTTACCAACAGCCAGTGCATGCCGGAGTATGTGGTGTGATGTGTGTGCGTCAAAATAAATAAATAAAAAGACCAAAAAGTAGGGATTCACTGGCCAGAATAAGCCACTTAATAGCTGTGTGGTGTAGAACAGGCTGAATAGTGGCGGTCAATTCTTCAGCCTTGCAAGCTGTTGAATGGTGTAATCCCAGCACAAATTGCTATGGCTTCTGCTGTAGCATTGCTATCATCGCCTCCGGCGACGGGCGGCAAATGGTCAAAATGGTGTGTGTGAGTGCGTGAGTGCGCACACATGTATGTGTATGCATGCGGGTGCACATGGGCATCTTTGAATGCCTATGTACACTCGCATGCCGGTGACCTTGTCCCAGATGTTGTGTTTGTGGCACATCCACGCACAAGTGCCTATTGCACTATACCTCATTCATTAGGGCGGTCCGGGACCGGGCACTGCACGTAACATTGAAATGTCCGTAACTCTGAATCACATACATGTTGATGGGGAAAGGTCATAGATGTAGCATATGAAGTCACTATTTCCACAAAAAAATGACAAAAGAGTAGTAATATTTCCACTAAAACTCGCCCAAAGGGTGCCCGGTAGAGCGAAGTGTCCGTAACTCGGATATCCAAGTTATGAATGTAACAAGTTTACCTTGACATTACATTGTTCAACCTGCAGATCTTCTCCTGGAGGGTGTACTTCTTGGTCAAACGGCTTTATCAGAGCTACGAGGGTCCTTACAACAACTGATCGCCGATGGAGAGCACAGTCGTAACGTCAATCAGCAGCTCATGACCGAGCTGCAGAATTGCCGGTAAGCCCAGCAAACGTATGTGGGTTGACCGAGGGATAAAAGGCATCGGCGGACAAGCGATGTTTGGCGTATTGTGTGAGTATGGCAGACAGCCAGCTGCACGCGGCTGTCACATGCTGATCATTCCAGAGGCATTCCAGGGGCGTCGGAAGGTAATTTAGTGTACTACGGTCAGCCATCTGAAGTACAATTTACTCGTGGAGGAGGGGTGGCTGAGCCGAAATATTTTGGAAAATTAGAGCCAAAATCAGTGCATTTTATTGATTCACTGGGTACTTGGGTAAAATTCTACTCCAATACCTACCAGTTCAACATAATAACGTTATCATCAATGTTTTGTTGCTGTTGTGTTGAATCATTGACAAATTGGTTTGGGGTTGAGTTTGAGTTGATTTCCCTGATCACCACCTGGTCAAAACAATAATACCAATGTTGTATTGCTTTTGTGTTCAATTCTTTATTGTGATTTGATTTCCCCAATCACTTTAGTTTGATGATATCAAGAGTAGATAAACAAGAGTGTGCAACTCGCGGATGGGTAGGCCCACGGCGGAATTTTTTGTTGACGTAACCTTTTCGACGACGCACGAGCTGCGAGTCTTTCGGAAAGTTTTCCCTCGTGCTCTTGGCCGGCTTTACACTACAAGGTCGGTGCCCAGCACGTGTTCTCACACTGCTCTGCGGCGAAATGCGCGTTCTTCTGAAAAAAGGTGACGTCAACAAAAAATTCCGCCGTGGGCGGGGGTATCTGGAGATTGTGCAGGAGAGATCTGGAGTTGCACACTCTTGTTTATCTACTCTTGATGGAATGCATGTGGACTTGCCCATACAGGTGGCTTTTTACTGTCAAATAGTGGTACGGTGAATACCGTAGTGACCGTACCATGTGCGATGCCCCTGCATTCATTATCACAGTGATAGGCCTCGTTGTTGTTGTGAGAATGCTAGCCTAGTGTACAGTGTGCCAGTATTGGTGGTATTTCCTGTGGAATCTACAGTTGTGCACGTTTAGCACCCTGGACTTGCATGCCACGTCCCTTGATGCCCTGGAAGTGGTGTGAATGCTGCTTTACGTAATCTATACTGATGTAGTGGGAACTGATCCAGGGTGCCAGTTCTGAACTTTGGGTGGGAAATCACATAGCTACACTGTAGTTGCTGCAGAAGCTGGCTTCCAGCGTAAACCTATAACACACGGGCATAATGTCCTCTCTAGTTCCAGTGCAGTGGGAATAGTACGTCATGCAGCTGTTTGTTAACACCAGACACTTGTCTCGTTATGTAACACCATCGACGACTATCATTGTTGGGTTTGCTATGTCTCTACTTGCACTGAGTATGTGCGAGAGAATCATCACTTTCGGTACTTGTTATCGCTAATCTACCTGCTACAGCTGTTTCTGCTGCTGCTGCCTATATCACCCACACTTTGTTAAGAAGAGGATTGTATTGGTTGGTGTCTTCTTCTGCCTGTAAACGCCTGGAAAGAAGGCAATGAAAGTGCTTGTGGGAATTTTGAAATGATGATTGGAAAGAGCCTGAAAACTTGTATTCCTTAGTCTGAAAATACCATCTATCATCAACATCAACATCCTTACTTGTTGCTTGACTGTGTGAGAGTGTGAGTTTCCTGCAGTCCTTACTGCAGTCCACAACTACTATCATAGGTCAGGTTCTTGTAGAAGTCTAGTAGTTTCCAATGGTTGTAGATGGCTGTACTGTCTTGTCTCTTCTTACAGGAACTCCCTGCAGGAGGAGAAGCAGAGATGTGGCACAATGCGGGATGAGGTGAGTGGCTGGGTGTTTGTTTCTGCACAATGCTGTGAGGCTGGAGTTTTTTTCTCAAGCTACCAGCACCATGTGTTCTCTGTTATTGGACCAGTCTCGAATAGGAGCACGCTGTGAATGTACCGGAGGGGGACACTCTCTCATAGAGGAACATTGGTAGTCTTTTTTATCGTTACGGAAATAGATTTTGGGTAGATGTTGGCTATCCTCCAGACGGCTTGCTATCGCTATGGTGTTATTTATGTGGGCCAAGAGCGCAGTGTGGAGTGGTGGAGTGTTTCAAAATTTCGAATGGAATTTTCTTGTATGAATTGGTCCAGTGCTGTTCAATGGAATCTTATCTAGAAAGTCAATGCCTCGCCAGATGCTGTGCACGCCTAGACCTACAGTCGTGGACATTGAAATCCAATGGGATTGCCGGGGCCTGCGCCCTGACTGCTTTCAGCGCATGCATGCACTGTAGTTCACACAAAAGGCACACAGGGGACAGATTTAAGTTAATATTTTTTTATTCCCGTAGCCATGCAGAAGGCGTTACTTCAGTAACGTCTGGCGCTAACCAAGGTCCACACAGCTTTAATTTGGTATTTGTTTGTTTGTGTGTTTGTGTCACGCCTGGAGCTATCCCGTATCTGTCCCGTATCTGTGACTACAAAGGCTCTACAGGATTGTACATAACAGCTGGCCACAATATTTGCCGGCTCCCGTATCTGTCCCGTACCGTACCATCAAACACAGCTGGCCACAATATTCGTCGTATTTTGTATACGACTCCCTGATGTAGAGGGAGATTTGGAAAGAAATAGGGAGACGAGAAGGATATGAAATTAGAATGGACGTTAGTTGCCGAATAGGTGATAGGATGCGTCAGCAAAAACATACTTTGGAAGAGAGATCCCGCCGTCTCCAAAATAAGCGTGAACGGGCGATTCAGCGCCGGTCACAGGAAACATCGGCAGAGAGATCCCGTCGACTCCAGAACGCACGTGATCGGCAGAGTCAACGCCGGTCCCAGGAAACGTCAGGACAGACATCCCGTCGTCTCCAAAATAAGCGTGAACGGGTGATTCAGCGCCAGTCACAGGAAACGTCGGAATTAGTATGTATGCGAAGTGTATCGGGGGATGCATGCAGGGCGATAGTGTGGGTTCGAATCCCAGGTTATGTCTTGAAAAAAAATAGGAGAAATGAAAAATTTATAACATCCCTATGCTGTTTTTTGCCTAGGTCATCAAGGCAAAAAAGCATAGCGTAGGGCCCTGAGCTTCCAAGCTCTCTCGTTTCACGGTTCGCGTGAGACTCGGCTGGAAACCATACAGATTTATCGCAACTCAGATTGCATTGCGCAAGAAACTCGGAGTTGCGATAAATCTGCAAACCTTCTTTGTGCCTTGTGTTATAATGCTCCACATTATTGTGTTGAGCCCTCTCCGCTGGCAGAAGGTAGTGTTCCTCCTTGAACTGTAGTTCACATAGTACACACTGTAGAAATGAACCAGCAGTGCCCGCGCCCGCAAGGCCAGCGCCTCGTGGCCGCGCTTGACTTCTCAACGGATTTCACTGTCCGCTCCAGTAGCAACACTGGGATGTGAGCGGATACATGGCACAAGCTTGACTCGCGCAATTTGATTTCCTTGAGCAGAACTGTGTTAGTCATGTGATGACGCTACCCTCACTCTAATGGCCCAGTATATCTTTGAAATTGTTCAAGCAGTCTCCAATACAGCACGGGTTGGAGGGAGGTTGAAAAGAAAACGTGGCTTTCACATGGTAATAGAGACTATACGGAAGTGGTGCGTGATATGCAGGCGCAAGCTTGTGCCGTGCCCAGTCCGTCATTTCCGTCCGAATCACTCTCTTTCATCACAATCTTTCTCTGTTGTTGTCAACACTACACTTCCGTATCCGATGTTTTTGCATGTTGTTCCAATGTGTTTGTGTGCATGTGTCGTTCCACAATGCAGTTGCAGCAGCAGAAAAGACTGAAGACAGACCTGCAAGCTGCCAATGAGGTAATTCGCATGTGCGCTACTTATACTGTAGATCGATGCAATGGGGAAAAGGAGATTGCTAGCTGGTCGGGATAAACAAGGTACGAGATAAACAACGCCCCATTTGTAGGTGGGAACTAGTGGCCGGGCGTGAGGGAAACATGGATTTCTCATCTTTAACCACCTTGTTTTGGGTCTGATCTACTCGCCTCTGTTAGCTGCTCTGGCTTAACAGTCCCCAAAGCACTCTTAGAGGACGGTTGTATAGTTTTATGTTCGGAAGTCGTACTATGACACAAGCATAGAATGAACCTGATGGGTTCTGATGGCTGTGGCAAAGAAGCGGGAAGTACGAAATAGTGAGTAGAGAATATCTGAGGATGAATCCACCTGTTACACCTCCCACGGTTTCAGGAGCTGCATTTTCCCCTGACCCTTGAGGCTGGTGGTGTTGCCGTGGATACGGAAAACTCAGTCTAACTGGGGCTGATGTCTGCGTCTCGTATCCATGGTATCCATGTAATCTACTTATGGGCGTACTATCAGCTACGGTATTTTCTGGAGTATAAGAAAACCCTCAAAATTCACCCCGGAAAAGAGCCGGCACGGCTTATACTACGCTGGTCAAATGAACCGTGAAATTCTAGCACAGGGTAGATGTGTGTACGTCGTGACAAAAAAATCGGGGTGCGGCTTATGCTCTGCGAAAATACGGTACAGTCAACTTCACTAATAACGACTGCGGATATAATGACAATTCGCGAACGACGACAGAATATCCATGCCCAGAGCAAAGTTCCACCTACCTGTATGCATATAAGGAGACTTGGGGTATAAGGACACTTCGCGAGTAAGAACACTTTTCTGATGCCCCGCCGAGTGTCGTTATACGCAAAATTGACTGCATATCCACCTCTGTATTTCTCTGTTTGATCCAGGAACTCAGTGGCGCTCGCCTGGAGGAGCTGAAGAGACACAGCCGTGAGGTGGACGAGCTGAAAGACGGTCGTGACGCGGCGTGGGCAATGGTTGGCGTTCTCAATCGAGATAATGACGCGCTCAAGGCACGATTAGCGGACTCACAGAATGCAGATGAGAGGCACAAAGTAAGCTTGGGTGCATGATCTGCATGTCAGGTGTTGATCGTATTTCCTTTACACTTCAGAGACTTGGTCGGAGGGGAACATATTAGCACGCGAAGAAACAAAGCCAGTTGAAAATCTGATAAGGCCTTTCGTACCATTACTTCTCAAATCAGCAATAATGTGACAAAGCACAACGATGTCAATTTATACAGCATATTCTATGTGCCTGGGAACTTTCCTTCTTCCTTCTGTTACTCTATGGGTTGAAAATGTTGAGTTTTGGAAAGAAAAGAGTAGTGTCCTGAATAACCAAATTTCCTTACATCATTCTGGCAATGCTGATATTTGAATTTTTGTTTTATTTTGTTCTGTTTGCACAGAAGTGGAGAGCGCCGGGTACAAGAACAAGACGGCTTTCTGATGGTGACACAGACCAACCTTATGTGCAGTGAGTGATCACACAGACATTTCAAACTTGAAATGATTAGGTTTGACGAAACGTACCGTATTTCCCAGAATATAAGTCGCACCCTTTTGCACTAAAATTCAAGGCCAAAAAGGAGGTGTGACTTACAATCGAGCATGACTTACTACTGAAGTGAATATATCAAAACAATATGGCTCAAACCTGAAAAATGGTGGTGCAACTTGTAATCGAGTGGGACTTATAATCGGGGAATTATGGTACTCTACTGCAGAGCGCTACAGCATCAAGCGTGCGGATAAGGTCATTTGAGGTGTATATTAGAGAGGTTCCTCACTACGTAAAGTTGAGCAACTTTACGTTAGTGGGCGGGAAAACCCGTGAATTCGCGAGTTTGCACTCCACTTACGGAAAGTTGTCTACGGAGAGTACGTAGATAGGGCTCTGATAACGTAGCTGGTCCGTAAGTGGATTGGGGTACAAATTTATGACTCTCTCCCCATGTCGATCTGGTCGTACACTGCCGCGTTCGGAGTTGCCAAGGGCAGCTACGTAATTTGAAAACTCCGTATGGCGGAACCCAGATGCGCATGCAGTTTACGTAAGACTTTCCGTAGATCGACTACGTTTTTTACTAACGTAATTACGTTATGCGGAACCTCTCTATTTGTGTGCCTTTATGTGTATGTGCATGCACACACGTGTGTGCATTGGTCCATGTGTACATGCACACGTTTGTGTTTGTCTGTACATGTACCTGTAGGACTCTTGGTCTACTTTCCACATCTCGGGAACAGATACACAAGTTGCAACACGACATCAACGGAATGAGGTAGTTGCCATGGGGACGAGTCACGTTGGACATTCATGTTTGTGGATGGGTGGGTTCTGGGGATTTTGGTTTGAAATAATTATTATTCAATCCACATGGAGAATTCCCAGCTACAGTACTGTCGGTCGCCGAAGAACTGGGAGGGGGTGAGCCTTCTAGCCTAGACCATTCTTATGTTCATGTATTACAGTCTATGCGCAGTTGAGCCGCCGTGTATACATTGGTATGCTGTGCTTGGTGTACTCCTAGCCTGTTTGTTCTTCGGCGCTTAGCTCTTCGGCGTCTGACAGTACTGTACTACGCTGGCTGAAGATTGAAGTCATTATTTTGTTGAAGTTCGTTCGGCTGCAGAAAGGATGGGTGGGTGGGCGGGTTCCGAAAGTACAACTGACTGACACTTGCAAGACATAACTGCTCCCTGCCCAAGATGGATTATTTTGTAGTAGGGAGAAGTTCTCTTTTACATGTTCCCTTGCGTGGAAGATTTGACGTGCGTATTTGCAAGTCAATCAAGTGTCAGTTCGTCAGCAGGAAATGTGAGCTTCAGTGTTGGGAGCAGCCACCTTCTTGTATAGCACCCCTAATCCCAGCTTCTCAGACAATGCTGCACTGTTACTCCATTGTTGTGAGTTCTCTTGGCAACGGAGAGGAGAGTTTTTGTTGTGACTGTGTGCTTTGTGTACACTAGGAAGGATATGCAGGACTGCCGGGAGGCCAGCTCCAACCATACCTCTCCGCTTCTCGAGCACAGGGGGTTCCCCTCATCGGCACCGCACCAGCATGCCAGCACGCAGTCGCCATCACCGCCTCACCGAGGCCAGGAAGCGGCCAGCCAATCACCGACGAGCGATGATGTCATCACAGTGGCGGGGAGGGTGCTGAACACGGACGTTGAAAGCAGGAGTGAGGTCCTGAACAGTACTCTGGAGACGGACACCACTGAGGTCAGTACGGCTGTCATGCCAACTGTAATCGTGGTGATGGTTGTTGTTTTGTAGTAGTGTCATCAAGAGTACGTAACCCCCACCCCCAAGAGTGTGCAACTCGACGCTGGGTGCTGTCCCGACAGACTTTCAAGTTTACGGCACAATTATGATGCAATGTGCACTGTACACGGATTTTCAGACATCTCCTGAACCTGCGGTGGACAAAGCCCCATTTCATCCTATACAAAATGTTGCAAAGAAAAAGTGTGATGCGTTGACACCCCAAAACAAATGTCGTAAATTACTGGTACAATTAGCATTGCATCATATAAGAATGACGTCAACTTGAAATTCTGCGGGGAAGGCAGGGTATGTGGGTGTTGCACACTCATGGGGGGGGGGGGGGGTATGCACTCTTGGTAGCATCATGAACGGCACAGTGGAAAGCAGGACTTGCCACATAGCACAACCCTGTGTGTGTGCCGTCACTTCCCACTCCGTCCTTTGTGCACTGAGCAGTCCAGTGCAGAGAAACTAGGCCGGCAAGTGTATCCTCTCATTTGAACTAGCAAGTCAGCTAGCTATGCATGATGCATGTCACTGTGTGAGTAGCTACACCTGGCTCTAGCTCTGTGTGCTAGATACTATTTATCGACGTGTACTCTGAAGATACACAAGTACCCAATGGCGGGACACTTTGTTCTGTTGTTAGTCCGAGTTTTACGACAATAGAGTGAGTCATCAGCCAACAGAGTTCATGCTGGTTAGAGTACCTACGAATCATATTGGGGATGTGCGCTCGCAGCTTCATATGTGGCATGCACCGCAGGAAACATGTGACAGATCAAGCGTGGTGCGATGCAATCTTTTGCAAGTCAACAGCTCATCTGCCTTGTTATATTTTGAGGCTATTCTGTGCACCCGGAACCCTTTGCGATCCGGAATACTTTGCGGTTTATGCGATGGGTGGTGTGAACTCGCAGAAGTAAGCAGGCGCAAAACGTAGAACTGTTGTAAAGAAACTCAGGAAATTGATTCCAATCGCAAACATCTCCAGGTGCATATTTGTCTGTGCTCGCAAATCGGGAAGCAAAACGAGCACACACGTTTCCCGGTTTACAGCAACTATGTTTCTCCTTGCTGTGTTGTCCCTCCAGTGGGCACTACTCGGTGAGAAAGTTGAACGGCTCAGCAAGAGCAATGTGCTGCTGCAGAACGACCTAGACAACTGCAAGCGGTACGTAGCTTCAACATGAATGCAGCTCAGACTGAGTACAGTAGTACCGTGTGGGATTCACAAGATTCTGGTAATTTAGTGACTATGCAAGTACAACTTTATCTTGAGATGCTTTGTATGGAGTATGACCTGAGGCCTGATATGAGTATACTCAGATTTCGCTTTTAACTGCACACATCCGTTTTCCACAAAAAATATCTGGATAGGCGAGGGAACCGGATAATGAACACACATACTGTATGTATGCATTGCATAATAATAGTATGCTGTAAATCGGTAATAAATGATTTTCTTCCGGATTTTTTTTTTTTTAAAGAGAACACAAACCTACAAATCATGTTGAAAGACAAAAAGTACATTGGACTGGGTAGGCGCTATCCACAATGCCAGTTAATAGCTGTGCTGATGAAATACATGGACTCTGCCGACCATGGGTCTCGGCGTCACCGGGCCATGTATGCATCAAAATAATATTAATCATAAGTTTATAATGAGCCAACATAAGAAAGTGACTAAAGACAAAAAAAGAAATAAAAAAATAAGACAAAACAAACAAGAAGGGAATAATAATAGTGGAAAAAAGGGGGAGATTGAGGGATGTGTGGGTAACTCTCGAGTGATACGGCAGGGTGAATCTAGACCAGAGTGGCTGGCAACTTCGTTGCAGGTGTGTGCAGCAGTGGCTTTCAGAGGTGGTCTGTAGCCCACAGCCAGTCAGTGTGTAGCAAGTGCTTCCATGCAGCTGCCTTGAAGCGGGCAGCCGTTGCAGGGACAGGGAGGGTGGCAGTTGATTCCACAAACTGATGTGGGCAAACGGGAAGGACCGCCTGATGTACTCCGGTGCAGCTGGTGGTAGGGTATTGAGGAGCTGGTGAGGATGGGTCACCGCATGCGTGTGTCGGGTTCGTGGACGAACCACAGTGGGTGCAGCTGGTGGGACAATGTTGGTCAGCTGTTGTGGGCTTTCGATGCACTGAAGCTTGTACATGTAGCACAGCCCAGAGAGAGTGCGTCGTGGATGGGGAGGGATCCGGATAAAAGAGGACCAGATAAGCGAGGTCTGACGGTATACCTTGGATATGATGTGCTATGGCCTGTGAAGTATCCTTAAGCACCCCACACTATTCTATAGCAGTCATGTGACATGTGTCACCGTACAGCACCTCGGTTGTAAGGTACCGTATTTTACGGAGTATAAGTCGCACCCAGATTTTTGTCACAAAATCCAGACATCCAGCCTGTTTAACACGGTTGATTTGATCATCGTAGTATAAGGCACAACGAGGGTGAATCATGATTGTTTAAATTGCGACCTATAACGTTACTGCGGAAATTCCGGTACAGATTGTTACAGCCTCTGGAGGAAGGGTGAACTCAAGGTTCACTATAACTGATTAAAACCCTTTCAGCACGGCCAGGGTGTGTAACTGACCCGCGGAGCCAAAACCAGTGATTTTCGTGATTTTCCAAAAGTAGTCCTATTCACTCACAATTTTTTCTGCGGAATGCATGTTCGCACGCGACATCTATGTACTAGTACGCGTGCATAGCGGCACACGTGCGCCCGTCAGCACTATCGTAGAACAGTCGACGTTCATCCAGCACGTCACTGGTCCACGTAGGGATAAGATCCGTCGACCACGGATGTCTCGGGAGTACGTTCATTTTCACTGTACGCATCACGTATATATACGTGATCCGTGGGCCAGTTACATGTACCATCACGTACATATACGTGATGCGTGCTGAAAGGGTTAATATTTTGTAAGTGATACTCTACGGGTGTGTTGCATGGTGTATGTGTGTCATGTCATGTTTCTTTGCAGGAAACTGCAGCAAGCCGCTTTAGAGACAGCTTGTAAGTGTGGGCGTGTACGCATTGGAACGTGCGTGTGTGTGTGTGTGTGTGTGTGTGTGTGTGTGTGTGTGTGTGTGTGTGTGTGTGTGTGTGTGTGTATTTGCATCGCTGCACATACCACTGCACCATATGGGACACTAGATTGCGGGTTCGATTCCCGACGATTATGGTCACACACGTCTTTCTTCTCTTTCTCAGACTCTTCCTGACTTTTCTCTCATTCTCCTGGGTGGTTACCAACAGCCAGTGCATGCCGGAGTATGTGGTGTGATGTGTGTGCGGGGGAAAAAAAAAAAAAAAATGAAAAGACCAAAAATAGGGATTCACTGGCCAGAAAATGTCACTCCAAATAGCTGTATGGTGTAGACCAGGCTGAATAGTGACGGTCAATTCTTCAGCCTTGCAAGCTGTTGAATGGTGTAATCCCAGCACAAGTTGCTATGGCTTCTGCCGTAGCATTGCTATCATCGCCTCCGGCGATGGGCGTCAAAGGTCAGGTATTTGCATGACTGTGTGTATGTACGTATATGTGCGACCATGGGCGTGTGCACATGCATGAGCAGCGTGCTTGTGTGGTTTTGTGTGTGTATTTGTGTGTCACATAACTTACGTAGGCCAAAACAAAAAATAGGCTTGTTTCCGGTCGGCAACCCCTCAAGAAGGAGACTCAGTCGGCCGAAATGAAACTTTTTTTGGACATTTTTTTTGGTTCCTCAATCGTTGTGGTATTGATGGACAAGAGCACCTACACATGTACATTGTACATATATCATGGCAAGGATCAATGTCAAAGTTGACTGACTCACTGTTCTTGTACAGCATGTGGTGTATTCCTGTTTTCGTACATCCTGAGAAATCAAACAAACAGTTAGAGTCCTTCCAGCTCCGTTATTCTAGCTCGTATCAACCCCGGAGGTTTTCGAGCCAACAGCTGAGAATCTCTGCTACCTTGTAGGTGTTTCGATTGTGGAATTCGGTTGAGATTTGACTGAGTTATGACTCGTTGAGTGCACTTGCACACATGGCATTGCCACCTTTTGTATACATTTGGGACCAAGAAAAGTTTCAGAATTTGGGAAAAAGTGGCCCGGTCGGCCGACCGGAAACAAGGTCATTATTTGTTTTGGCCTTGTTTATTGTCTTCAATGGTGGACATGTGTATGTGTATGTGCATACATCATGCATGTGTGCATTTGTACATGTATATGTGCGCACGTGATTGTGTGTTTGTGTTTGCGCTATTCAGGTCTGAAGTCAGTGTGTTCCCAACTGTCGGTGTCTGACCACACACAGTTGCCCAGTGCTGTCGAGAGACTCATGGTGGCTGTCGGAGCACTACCCACACTAGAAGAGGTAGGTGGCATAGATTGATAAGTGTTTTTCTCTCTTTCGTGGAGGCTTGCTTGTTGTATCCTTGGCTTTTGGCCGTCACTTTATCGCCATCATAATAGTGGGCATCATTGCCCGTTTGGTCTGCGGTACAAAATAAAATTTCAACAGCAACAAGTGTCCTTGATTTGAATGTCGAATCTCTTCACCTTTTGCTTGGAGTCATGTCAGGTAGCGTGGCCGAGTGGTCTAAGGCGCTGGATTAAGGCTCCAGTCTCTCCGGAGGCGTGGGTTCGAATCCCACCGCTGCCAAGATTATTATTTTTAGTGAATATTTTTGCCTATGCACCATTACTTTTTTATGCCATAGATGTGTTTTTTTCTTCTTCCCTGAACGGAAGATTCTGCTTTTTTCTGCGTGACTGGAGGCTGGTAGAAGTTGATGGTGGTTGGTGCTCTTTTCCACCGAATACAGTATATCCAGGGCTCGTTTGGTCGGATCCAGATCCAGATCCGTCGGATCCACTGGATCTGCAGTGATCGATTGGTCGAGTCCGGATCCAGATTCTTCCGATTTGGATCCGAGTAACCTTGCCCCGGGAGCAGGGTTGACTGGATCCATCGGATCCAAATGTGCCCTTTGTGGGTATATGGTGGGTAAAAATCATTTTGTCATTGTTGTACGGCTAGTCGACTTTTGTTGACTTTTCGTACGACGCGCACACCCGCGATCAGTACCACTTTCGCCCTTTTGGGTGACCTGTCAGCGTCATATTTTACTTCGTCAACATGAGAACAACCGTCCCCAAAAAGTGATCGGTTAATTCTGAAGGATCCGACGGACCTGAGATCTGAACCTGGATCGGACCAAACGATGATAGCGTTAGTGTAAATGTTGCAAATATGGGAGATCTACGGATTTGCATTGACAATATGAATTATGATGATCTGTTCTATTTTACTCTGCCGAGTAGAGAATATCCAACATAGCCTATGCATGCCTTGTCAAAAATCACACACTCTTTCTGAAATATCTGCTCCTGTCATGTGTTTCTATTTCCCCGGTCGTGATGTGCACAGTTTTATCGAGAGGTCACCAAGGTAGTTCCGGCTCCTCTGCAGGACGATGTAGATAGCGACACCACGGCAACGGAGGAAGCATCGTCCCATCACCATGCCAACTGGTGTGCCGTGCAGTGGAATCATGTGATCCCGACCATACGCCTGTGGAAGCAAGCAGTCGATGACGCTGTTGAGCCGAGCAATGGCAAGGTACTCAATGTTCTCCTTATCGTATTGTTCTCTTTTTCCATTTCTTTGTCTGTCTACATCTGTGACTCTATGGTGTGTATAGAAACCTTGCTTGATAGATTAACATGTTTTCGATTTCGACAGTATGTTGCAAGGCGAGGACGTACACAAAAAAATCCAAAGTCAACCACCGCCCCCTAGAATAAAGAGGGTCCGAACCAGGATTTGTTCCCCATACGGTTCAAATGGTGGCAAGACCGGGACTCTGGCAACAACCGGGTTATGGTCGTATTCAGGAGCACTGTGCGTCCTTGCCTTGTAACATGCTGTCGAAATCGAAATCTGTGACTCTGTTTGTCTGTCTGTCTATCTCTCGATGGCTGGCTGTCTCTGTTGTTCTGTCTGTCTGTCTGTCTGCATTTCTGTCTCTGTTTCTGGCTGGCTGATTTTCAGTCTGGATGTGTGTTTATATCCCTCTCCTCAATTCATTTGGCTGTCTTGACATGCCACGAGGTACAGAAATAAATAAATAAATAAAATAATTCACAGCCGACTCGTGAGAGCGCATGGAGGAGAGGAGAGGAAGAGTTCTTTACATTTATTGGCCGAATAGTACCGTTCACCATTTGAAAATCATTCATCTGCTTTTTTCTCTTCTGGCGTCTCTCTCTCTCTCTCTTTTTTATTTGACCACCCTGATATATTGTTTACAGAGTGAGCTCCCATAGCTCAGTCGGTTAGAGCGTCGTGCTAATAACGCGAATGTCGCAGGTTCGAGCCCTGCTGGGAGCACGCTCTTTTTTCTTCTTCTTTTGTTTTTACTTCTTGGGAAATTAATGGCTAGAAATCCACCTCTGCATGAGTGTTGGGGTATGGGAGAGAAGAGCCTGTCCGGAGTACATTTCTTTTGACTTTGTATCAGGCGAGTTATGCTTTCGGGAGATTGGGGATTCAATCTATTTAATTTTTCGCCAGTATTGTGTGCGTGGTGGCGTCCCACGGAAGCGGAGAATAATAGCTATTGACCTGGCCATAACGGAGGCGTATTTTCGCTGCTATCCTTCTCCCGCTAGAGAAAAGTATTATTATTACCCGTAATGTGCAGTACCCGTAATGTGCAGTACCCGTAAAGTGTAGTACCCCCCCCCCGGAAAGTGTAGTACCCGTAAGGTGCATCTGGTACAAACACACCTGTGCGCTTTACAGGCATGGCCATACCTTTCTGTAGTGGAGAAAATGAGCAGTGAGTTCCCTAGCTCTACCTTCTAATAGTCCCTCGCCTCGGCTTGTTTGAGCTCTCCTTCTGGTTGGAGTTGAACCTGTATGCCCTCGTGCAAAGCTGGGTTAATTACTGGCGTTCAAAGTGCCGCTAGGGCTCCGAAAAAAAGGAATTGTTTTGCCTCTGCCTTTCCTGTGCCGTGATTCAAGATCTATGCGTTCATCTTCAAAACATTCCGGCATTGTTGTGTGTGCCAACTCTTTCTGTTTTCCTCAGACAAGCCGGCGCAGTCTGAAGGCGCTTCAATCGACTGTTCAGCACATCCAGTCACTGTTCGACATCGCCCATGTATCCAGTATTGTGCCTCTAATGAACAGCGTGTACTTGCGGTTGAAGGAAGCGGAAACGCTAAAGAAAGCGCTACGAGACGTCCTTGGTTTGGGTGAGCTCACTGCTGTTTACAAGCTGTGAACATCATATCCTGTCCAATGGTTAGAGATATATTTGTGTAAAATAGCTGCTATTGAATACAAAATGTAAAAAAAGAGAATAAAACCCATGAGAACGAGTTATGCAGCAACTATCCACGTCTGTAACAAGATGATAAACAGTCAGAAAGTGCGATAATAGCTAATAGCTATGAATAAAATGAAAGTTGTGCTCATGTCACACAACAAAGTAGCAATGGTTTTGTTCTAGAACGTTCTCATAGCTATCTTACGATTAGTATCTCCACGTGGACTGTTCACATATGTATTTTGTATTGATGGGTTATCCACATGTCTTAGCCTAAATCAAAGGAGTCTCCGTTGTCATGACCTGCATCTCTGTGCGTGCCTCGACGCAAGGTTTGGGCAAGCCGAAACTACCCCTGTCTCACCGGTGGTCTGATCCTTCTGGAGTCGAACTGTTCCTTGAAGCAAGTCGGTGATGACTTCCTAGAAAATGTCGTAATCGGCTGGATCATTCAAATTCCTTTGTGACCTAGCAGTAAAACTGGAAGCGTGTCCGAATTTTAAATGTAGTACATCTACACCGTCCACGCCAGTGTTGAAGAACATCGCGAAAATTTCCAAATCATTCGTTTCCAACATTCCAAATCATACGTTTCTAACAATTAGGAAATGAGGAGCTTTTCGATTCCTTGCAGGCATTAGTTTGAGTTTGAATGGGTCTCTATAACTGGGATCAAGCAAAGGAAAATCTCCGACTCTGACAGTGAACGAGTCTTGTCAACCGAGCGACACCAGAAGCAGGCATTTAAGGCGAGAATGCACTAATTTTGATGCGTATTGTGTGCGTGTGTTTGTATGTGTGTATGTGTGTATGTGTGTATGTTTGTGTGTCTGTCTGTCTGTATCTGTGTCTGTGTGTGTGCCCAATACAGACTCCAAATGTGGTGTATCCCGCATCATCTCGGTAGCCGAGTCTTTGACTGATTCTGAACATTGCCAGACCGTGATCAAGCTCACCCTGGAAAGGTTGGTCACCGAGCATGTGTGTTTGAGCATGCGTGTTTGAGCATGTGTGTTTGAGCATGTGTGTTTGTGTGCCCTAGTCTACTGATGCATACCAGGGTTCTAGCTTAACACTTTGCCCGCAATTATTTCAAGGAATGCACTGCCTACGCTAGCCCAGGTACTTATCTGGTCGTTACTTTGGTGTCCTTTGGCCGATTTTGGTGATCTTGGGCTTTCTGGCCAGAGGAACACAGCGATACCCAGAAATCCATCAAGGAATCCACAGAACCAGCGCCGCAGCGCGATTCGGCGCTCCAAAGCCAGCATTGCGAGCGCCCAATTCAAATTCTCTGCCATTTCAACAAAATGTATCGCAGATCGCTTAAATTTTTTCCATGAGAGCTGAGAAACATGCCTTTGCGATGACGTGAACTATCTGTGGCTGTGTGGGCCGCGAGTCAGGGAAAACCCCCAAAAACGAGTTCAAAATGCACGCGCCCGAGGTGACTCTGCTGAGCGAATTTAGTTCGAGTCTCGTAACTCCGCAGCACCTCCTACTTTAATTTAGTGCCCTCCTGTGAAAAAGTGGCGCCTCTTCTCATTTTTCGATTTTGTGTATTTTTCCTACCAGGTTACGGAAATGCTGTCAATAGTCACTACTAGAGGGCTCATAAAGGCACATTTGTCTGGGGTGAATTCGGGCGTTTGCTCCAGAGCGTTGCATGTTGCACGGCATGACAACATTGAGCAGCATTGTGCAACAGTGTGCCTCAGTGAAGGCTTTGTGCAACAGTGTGCCTTCAGAATTCAGATCTGTTCACCTGGGTGGGTAGATAACGCAATTATGCACGTCTGTGTGTTTCATCGATCACCGTTGTATGCCCTCTCGTCTGTGTGACTATGCTGTGATAGGGAGAAGCTGAAAGCCAGTCTAGACAACAGCACGCAACTACTCGTATCATTTCGTGATCTGATGTCTCAGATCCTGAGCATTGTCGGTAGGTTGTCGTGGTTGATGGTGGTGGTGGTGGTGGTGGTGGTGATGGTGGTGGTGATGGTGGTGGTGGTGGCGGTGGTGGTGGTTTGTGTGTGTGTGTTCATGTGTGCACGTAAATGTTTGTATGCATTTTGTTTGTGTGTGTGTGTGTGTGTGTGTGTGTGTGTGTATGTGTGTGTGTATGTGTGTGTGTATGTGTGTATGTGTGTGTGTGTGTGTTTGTGTAGGAATGCGCTCATGTGTGTGCGCGTGTGTGTGTGTGTGTGTGTGTGTGTGTGTGTGTGTGTGTGCATGCATGCGTGTGTGTGTGTGTGTGTGTGTGTGTGTGTTTGTGTGCGTACGTGCGTGTGTGTGTGTGTGTGTGTGTGTTTGTGAATTCCTGCTGGACAGGTGTTGACGCGCCAAGCAAAATCCCTCAAGAGGTTGCCCGGCTAAAGTTACAAGTGCTCACCAACGCGTAGCAAGTCGACTCCGCAGAAGATACCGTAACCATGACATCATTGCGTTGTCATGATGACATTTCTATGACGAGTAGCTCCGGTACATACCGTGCTGGTTTGGAGCGAATCAGCCGAGCCGATGTCCGAGAGCAAACAGAAACTCTGTGCTGCTTGAGTTGATGGCCGCTTTGCTCACCTGAATGATCTGTGAGCGATGCTTGTACTAATCTACTGATCTGATATGGCTCCTGCCGACCTTTGTTTTATGTGGGAGAGCATCATGTCCATTTCTTCCATATTGGAAAGGTTGAGATGCACGTTGCTTCCGACGTGACGCGCAATCCCATGTCAAATTTGGCGTAAAACTCCAAATTTCAACGTGAGCTGCAGTTCGTTCACGTTGTGTTTCGACGTGCGAGCCAAATAACGCGAGCTGAACTTTCGCGTCACGTCGGAAATAACGTGCTTCTTAACCTCTCTAGTATCTTGCCACAACCTGAGGTGTCCATCGCGCCCACGTTCATATGGCCCACCACTGTTACGAGTAGGCACTATGTCGATAGTACAGCTGAGACGACATGTCGCCATGCACGTGCGTTGAGAATCTATTGAGAATTTCTGTTGGATGTAGAATTCTTTTCTGGTGATGCCATCCACTGATTTGGGGAGTGGTTTTTGGTGGATGTCATAATGATATCAATTTTCCAAGCAAAACATGGAAAACCCGATCATCCCAGCCAAACATCCCATCCATTGACCTAGCGAGTGATTATGTGGTAGATGCCACAATGATATTATTAATTTGCAAGCAAAACTTGGAAAGACAATCTCAGACAGAAGGTTATCCTTCAGCTAATGTCGTGAGCGTTATCTTGGAAATTGTCACTATGGTCAGGATAAAGAAATTGCATACCCTGCTTCGTACGTGAGGTGTGTATAGTATGTGTATGTATATATTATGGCAAGGGACCGAATGTATATCGAGAAATATAGACCAGTATAAAAACCGAGGCGAAGCCGAGGTTTTTATAACTGGTCCATATTTCTCGATATACACGAGGTCCCTTGTTATAATATTTTATACCTCTCCATGCGCAAGCTCAAGAGCAAAAAGGAGTGAATATAGCTTTCTTTCCCTAAAAAGGAGTGAATATAGCTTTAGAGAAAGAAAGCTATATTCACTCCTTTTTAGAGAAAGAAAGCTCCGCAGTGAGTTTTTTTGATAGTTTTCCTCAGTGGTGTATATACATGTACCTCCTTAGTGGTGTATATTGAACAGTGGATATGTATATGGAAATTTATAAACTTCATGGGAGATCTGGTATATGAGTGTGGGTGTATATGGAGTGAGGTATAAATCTCGATATACACGAAGTTCCTTTGTTATAATAATTTTGTTTTACTTCTCCATATTCACCGTGTGTGACCTCCTAATGGCTTGTTCCTCGCTGACAACTACTGCTAATTTCCCTTAGCGGTGTATATGGAGATATATACACCACTAAGGGAGAGCATGCCTAAGACTGTAAGTGTATATGGAGTGAGGTATAAGGTATGTGTATAGTATGCCAGCAGGGCGGGCTGCGTCCGCGGCCAGCCTCAGTGCATCCTTGGTGGCTTCGCCAGAGGTGTGAGTCGTGATGTGTGAAGAGAAAACGTTGAGAACGGTCTCTGCATGATTTGACTACGACTGCACCATAGCTCAGTCAGTGGTGGAGCGCCATTGGACTCAAGGAGAGGTTTTTAAAGTCCTGGTGTTGTCAGTATGGCAGTTTATTCATCAGGTTTTTCCCTTGATCAAACTGATGAAAAAGTAAACTGCGTAGCAATTCTTTGTTTGGGTGCTATCCGCCAAGAAGTATAATCTGTGCAATAATGATCACGTGATGGGTATGTGGTGTGATGTACCGCGGTCTAGCAGGGCCGCTGGCGCAGGCAGTGTGTGGTCAGGAATTCAGGCCCTGCCTGTGAGAGCTCCGATTGGCTCGATATCTGGCAACGATCACGTGGCTTGTCTGGGGGAAATAGCACAGAAAATGACAATCCTTACGCGTTATGACTCGCCAGTGACATCATGCCCACCTCATGATGACATCATCGGAATGAAGCCCTGATCGCGTGCACCTGGGAGTAGGCCCTTCCACATTATGCTTTTCTTTGCCGCTAAAATGGAAATGCAAAATGCGATCTTTTAGCCAAAAATGTTTTTGTGAAATTTCTGAAATATTCCAGAAAATTTTAAAATTCTTCCCGAATCACCTGCAAAATTACCGGTATGTGTCAAATTCAAAAAAATTGTAAGGTATCTACTTGGGAACCAGAAATCGCTGTGGGGTCTGCACAAAATTGAGTTGAGACCGCAGAAAACGATAATCTTAGCCCCGTAAAATGCCAAAAATGTGTTTTTAGGCCTAAAATTCAAGAAAATGTTCGACATCGAACGAGAATGCTTTTTCCCCAAAATGCAAAAAAAGTGCAAAACATAATGTGGAAGGGCCTACCTGGGAGTGGCACAAACCGCGGGTCTGGCATGTCACTCTGTAGCTGGGCGCACTACAGTCTACACAGGTGGCTGTGTTCATCACCCAGGGCCGGGCCGGGAGTCTCAGTCCTGAAAGCCACCACTAAGTCACCTGATATCTGTTCGTCACCACGCGGTGAGTGTTTCACGTTTTTACACCTCTGTAGTTTTCTGTGGATTTTCCAGATTCACCTTGCATCTCCTGCAAACCCGCCGATGCAGAGTGCCGCCTGTTGCCGATGCAACGGCAACGGCACCTGCGTTCGGTGTGAACGCACTGAGCAAGAAGGAGCCTAACGGGTCGCGAGGGTCGGAATTATGTCCCTAAAAACAATGCAAATGCCGAAACAGCAGCAGACCCTCGACATCCCAACCGTGCGTTGCAACAAACGTACCCGTACCCGTATCAGTGATAGATAGGCTTTCCCCAAATTGGCCAGCCGACAAATTCGCCGAAAACGAGCTTACCGTATTGACCCACATACAGTACATGCCCAAGCGCTTATGGGTTAGTTTTTGCGTTATTTGCTATTTTCGCAGGTCGTTTTGTCTCACACATTGCCGCATACGCTTGAGTTGCATTAAACTCTGTGAACATGGTGTTTTGTGGCGTCCGTGTGTCGCGGATGGAATTGCATTTAGGTTCACTTATAAGCCGATAGGCTTATTTGTGAGGGTGCGCTTAAGCCCGAATCGGAAAATAAAAAAACGGCCCGATCGATTTTGTTCACAATTGCACAGCTCTTTAATCCTACCAGGATATTGTCATGAATATTGTCACCGGTCAAGTTGAGAAAAGTTGCTATCTTTAGGAAATGGGCGCTAACTGACAAAATCCCCGTGTACAGAAAAAGGCACAAAAAGGAAAGTTTTGTCTTGTTTGGTTGCAGCTCGGAGGCACATGGCCAAAAAAGGAAGTACGCGGAGTTTTGCGGACTACCCGTCACTATCTCGTCCGCCCCAGGATACTTGATAAAGGCTGATTCACTCGTATCTTCTGCCCATCCCAAGGATCGAGAACTCTAGCAGGGTTAATAGCATACTGCCTCTCTGTAATGTACATGTAGGGCGCTGTCCGAAGATTGAGTAATTACATGTATTATGCTTTGGCACGCGGGGATACATATTCACTTTTTTGTATGTATGGAGTCTCAAAAGTTCGGGAAATTGTGCCTTTTTCGTACTTGAAAGTGGCCAGAAGTACAACAAAATGTTACATGAGTATCCCCATACCAAGGTGTCCATGTATGCTTAACATCAACATGGAAAAGAGAACATTACTTCTTCTATTCATTAGTTAACTTCTTTTGTAAAAAAGACTTCTTCATTGCCAAATTAGTTTGAGTTACCTTTGAAAATTATCATGTTCGACTGTCTTCGTAATCGTCATATTCGTCCAACCGATGTCACCCTCGCCCTGCGAATAATCAGCTCATCTTTCCCGTAGCTCCACCTCTCCTTCCATCATGGCCGAACATCAACTATACCCATTTTTTTAATATTAGAGCAATGTGCATAGCCTGCACAGTCATGGCTGCTAAAATCCGTAACTTCGTAACATACATAATGTACTGTATAGCAGGAAATTTTCGGACGGAATATATTTTCGTACGATTTCGTACACGGCCTTTTTGTACTAAAATTAATTCCGTACTAAAATTTGTTCATGTGACTTTAAGTACACTGTACATGGTTATTGGTTGCGGACATGTACATATGTGCATCTAGCTTGCAGCACTGTACGAAAATAAAATCCGTACGAATGGTCGAAATTTGGCTTTGTCCGAAAATATTTCCGTCCGAAAATTTCCTGCTATACAGTATAATGTACGCGGAGTTTTGCGGACTACCCGTCACTATCTCGTCCGCCCCAGAATACTTGATAAAGGCTGATTCACTCGTATCTTCTGCTACATGTACTGTGTCAGTGTGAGAAAGAACTTTGAAGAAGACGAGTTCGAGCATACAATAATGTATTGCCATGATTTCTACCCTGCTTTTCATTGAAAACACTATCTGCATGACCTCCAAACCCTTTACCATGCAGACCACCAGCACTGATCAGGTGCGTTCATTGTACACAATTCTGTAGCCTACATACTAGAACTGTGGTACAATCATGTAGTTATGCTCCTAACTCTGAAAGGATGCCAAATTATGCTCCAATTTTTCAACCACCAAATTATGCCAATAAATATGCCGACATAATCCGCCGGTACCTAGTCTTATTACCCTCGAATGCAAAGAGAAAGTTTATTTCTTTCGCTCAGGGCATGTTATTCGAACAGATGGAAACTTTTTGCAATACAGTGATGTAGCCGATCAGTTCGTTGTTGTATGGTTGGGCATTGTAGCTGTCAGGGTCGACGTAAAACACTATAGCCAATCAATGGAAAAACATTCATTTCCATCAGTTCTAATAACATGCATGATGAGTGAGAAGTCGATGCATCCTGCATCTTCATCCGTAGAGAGACGTACGGTGGACACACCCATTCCCACAGCACTGCAAAACCGAACCGATTCCTTTTATGTACAACATTTCGGCAAAATTGCCATCGTCAGGTACGAAATGAAACAATGATGCCATGCCAGCCAAAAAGAAGCAGTTTTATGCCAAAGTCCTACCGCCAAAACAGCATAATCCCGCATAGTAGAATCAGTGGCAGAGGTGTAAGTGAGACATTTAACGCCAGCGCCAAAACATACCGTAAGAACAAATCCTACCGCCAAACACAGCATGATCTGGCGCATTACGAATGACAGATACAGCGAGTTGAGCTTCAAAGGTGTAGGTGAGATATTCACCACCGTAACCAAAGCATATTGTCACATTCAGTCATTTTCACTTTCCTAACACCTGTATGTGTGAAGGATGTATTTCACACCTATGTCTTAACCTCGTGCATGCATACTGCAACAGTGCAAGAGGCATGTCAGTGAGGGAAGCTTCCCACTCGGCTTTCCACTCGGCTACCTGTTACATAAGTGATTCGAATTCAGGGACGACGGCTCTGTGGCTATTCCATTATAATGATTGTCCAATTCAGTTATTATGAAGGAAACAGTTGATATGATCCAAATAATTATTTTTTTCTCCTACAATAGTTCCCATCCGGTGCTGGTGTTAACGTGGGGCCTAGTGTCGCGGATCTCAAAGATAGAGCCCGCCGCAAACTACGTGAAGCCATCGAGATCCGCGACACTAGGCCCCACGTTAACACCAGCACCGGATGGGAACTATTGTAGGAGAAACAAATAATTATTTGGATGATATCAACTGTTTCCTTCATAATAACTGAATCCGCGATATTCATGTTAAAACAAAATGGCGTCACGATTTATTGAAAGTAGACTGTAGACTATTAATATTATCCGCCATCGTATCCTGGCCT